TGGAAAGTGGAAGGGTTTTTCGATTATTCCATTTTCATCATTTTTGATTTTATATAAAAAAATCATTTTTAATTGGTGGGTCACGTGATCCACCGAGACCAACCGTAGGTCCCCCAATGACAAAATTATACCTATCAAACGTTTCTACTTCTCGTGAAACTAGTTTGGAAGAATGGCTCTCGATATGTCGTCGAGAAGAAACCATAGTGAGTCATTAAGTATGTGGATGGAAGTTAGAAATAGATTATGTAACATTTTTGAAATTTCCATCAAACTATGTTTGACTCTTTTTTTTCTTTTTTCTTTTTTTTAAATGAGTTGGTAATCGTGATTTTTTTATTTTTTTAGAACGTTTGGTTAAAAAGTAAGGAAAATTTTGGGGTTTATGTGTAAAATTAAATTATTTCATATTATGTGTAAAATTAACCTATTTTATTGAAAAGAAGGAAAAATTTGGGGTTCACGTATAAAATTAAATTATTTTATTGAAAAAAAATTTGTGATTAAAGTGAGTTTGGAGAAAAATGAGCTCAAGTAAAATGAGTTTAGAAAAAAATAAGCTCAAGTCTCAATCAATGGTCACTGAACTTTACTATAAGTTATTATTTACTCACCAAAATTTAAAAAGGTTATTCTTTGTTCATTAAACTTTATTATAAGTTACAACTTACTCACCAAAATTTAAAAGGTTACTTATTACTCATCCAAATTTAAACAAAGTTACCCATCAATCATCTATATTATTTCTATGAGTATTACCTGCTGCAAGGTGTAGTAAGCAACAAATAAATTTATTCAAATTTAAGTGAATAATGAGTAATCTTTTAAATTTCGATAAGTAAGTAGTAACCTATAGCAAAAATGGATCAACAGCAAGTAATTTTTTAAAGATCAGTGAACAAATAATAATGTATAGAAAAATTCATTGACTTTATTAAATTATCTCGCAAACTCTTTAACTTACATACTCATTTTCAATGATACATTTATTTTATTAAACTAGTATGACCAACATGAGTTGCACGTTCGTTGATAAAATAAGTTCACTTATTTTAAAAAGAATCTAAAAGAATATACAGCGGAAAAAACAAAATGATGAAGACATTGATAAAACGACATATAAACCATAATAATACTAGAAGGAGACAAGATTACCTTTGTTGATGTCTTATTTACTACAAGTTCAGCCTAACATTATAATGTTACAAGAAATCATATTGAAGTAATAAGACATCACTCCAATTTCAAATATACAAAGAAAAAGAGAAGTTGTGAAATCTTAAATCTCTTTAATCTTCATTGATTAATCTCTAGTTGCATCTTATTCTTTTTGCCCAAAAATCGAGAAATAATATTCAAAGGATGGATTTCTTGTATCTTGCCTTTCGATTCCTTATGAAAGATTAGTAGATTGCCTTTCTTGATTGCAAAAATTTGTATAATATGTGACATGAGATATGTCTCCAATTGTTGAACGAAGTTTTGCATTATTAAAGCCCATAATTAGGCAAAATTTGCGTCCAAAAAGGTTTTCATAAAGTAATCAAATCAGATAAGAAAACAACTCTGATTGTCAAATTTATTTTTGTGCTATTTCACTATGTATGGGGGTGCGATAGCATTTATGAAAAATTGCCAGCAGCACATGTAGCAATCTGCTCCACGCTTCCTTATTTTTTTTATTTTTTTCGGGTTTAAAAAAGGCCTAATAAAAAACAAAATAATGAAGTGGGAGAAGAGCACATATCTGCTATCCGACTAATTCCTCAACATCTAGCGTCTACCCATTTCTCCTGATCGCAACTAATAATCTTTTTGCCCTGCAAAATCTGAAGTAAGGTGCATATGGATGTCGAGTCTCATACAAAACTTTACAGGACAAAAGGAAAACAAAAAAAAAAAAAAGCCTGAAAAATCTTCTATTAAATCAGCACAACCATACAAAGAAATTGGAGATTGCTTCAAGAGAACTATTCGGGACAAAGGTTTTTCACATCATTCGTCACTTCCCCACTCGGGTTCGTATAATCTCTTCTCCCCTGGATGCATAAATAGAAGTATTAGCGCATAAATATCTCCTAAAAATCCAAGTATATATAACCCAGTAGTAGGAGCTCAGATTAAAATAATATGTATAAGCGCAAACCTTAGTTGAAAATAAATCATTTCAGGGAAAGTCATTACTTATGTATCAATCCATCGTCGATAATTGAACTAAACTTCTTAAACAATTCATATAATGCCTCTATTTCATTCACAGTAACTGCAAAAATAAAGGTATTCAAAATCTAATTTGTTATCAAGAGAAAACACTAATTCAATCTAAATCTAAAAAAGGTAAAATTATAATTAAATTCATCGAGATTTATGGGCGATACGACTGAAATCATTACGCTCGTGAATCAATTTCTTCCCACAGTATACGATTGCTGGCACTTAAAACATCGGGACATTGTGAAAATCAATACTTCCCATATTGCTACAACTGGAATCACCACTGCGCAGATCTTAATGAAGAGGAATTCTGAGAGGGCGATGGAATTTGCAAAGATTAAAGCAGAATCCAATGTGTGGGGAAAATCTTGCATGATATGGGGTGGTGTGTGAAGTAAATTGAGGAGCAAAGAGCTATGGGGTGCTGCGTAAAGTACATTCCGTTAGTGCTATTTTTTGGTATGGGCTTGTAGAGTGGGGAAGTGGTATTGCGTGAAGTAATGGAAGACTAAAAAAAGAAGAAGAGAGAGAATGATGATGGGAAATTGCGACACGTGTCCTGGAAGAGTTTACCTCTTTTATATATGTAGGATATTTTGCAACAAACCTAAAATATTTCCCCTTTTCTAACCAAACATTTCTGAAAAAATCACTTTCCAGAACGTCATTTTATCGAGTTAATTGTTTCAATGGTCACTGAACTTAGGTTCATGTCGTCGATTGACCATTGAAGTTTAAAATGTCGAGCTTTGGCCACCGAACTTTGAAAAATATTGTACATTATTCATTATAAATTCGATATTTTTCAAAATTCAACATTTATACTAATGAGTAATGTACGGCATTTTCGAAAATTCAGTGGTCAAAACTCGACATTTTAAACTTCGATGAGCAATCAAAGACATGGACCTAAAAACGTGAGCCTAACTTGATTGACCGAACAATTAATTTCATTTTATCCTGGATAATAGGATAAGTATTTGGGGAAGGATAGTTCTATTTCCATCAACGCTTTTTATAAGTACTTCCACTTTTAAAAATAAATTTTTATTATATTTTAAATCCCATGTACATTTACTTAAATAGACATAAACAGAATTAAATAAAAATACATTACTCTAAATTGATCCACAAATTTTTATTTTCATTAACCTATCCTAAATCTTTTTTTATTCTTTTAGAATTTGTGTTTAACTAGAATCCTAATATATTAGAAAAAATTACATGAATATAATTATAGGTGATGGGTGCCCCTAAATTCACGTGCATGCCAGCTTCCCATAACTTAAATCCAATCTCTTATTTCAAAAAAAAAAAAAAAAATTCTCTTAGCACGTAATTTTTGTCTCTGCTTATCGAGTTCTTTGCCCATGCTTTCATTTGTTTTATACTGAATTTATAGTGCTACTACGACATATTATTCTATAGGAAAACCAAGTCCAAGTTGAATTGTTTTTGTTGAATGTGCAAGGCATGTCTGTCCCGTAATCTATATACTTATTTTATCCCCTGTGCTGTTGTCAAGTATTAACTGCGCATAAAGCATGAATTTCATCTCTGATAGTGTTTCTGTACTGTGAGTTGTGTAGGGCTATTCTATCTTTGAATTTTTATTTTATTTGTGGTTAACTGTTTATTCTTTGAATGTTATCCTCAACCTGGTTATCTAATTTCATCGGCTTCTATGCTTGTATGTGAATTTTGTTGGAGACAGCAAATCTTTTCTGAAATTAAAAATTCTTTGTTGTTAAGATCGGGTAGAGAATATTTTTTCATATGTAGTGGTAGTGGTTTCTGGTTTCAAAATCTTCACTACCCATTCTTCCACTCCTTGGACCCTAGTGGTTGTGAACAGCTGCTGTATCTCATTGAAGAACTCAAAATGACTCAATCCATTTATGAACACTGCTTTTGAATCTGGAATGACAAAAAGCATAGCTACCTGGATTACATTTGATATGAACTCTGATAGTTTCTTAGGCCTAAATCGCTCATCTGGAGGTACATAAATGTCTATGTTGAATGATTTAGGTTGGCTCTCGGTTGTAAAATCTAAATATTTTTAAAAACAATATCAACACATGTCATTCCTATAGATAAATTCATTATAGAAAAGTTAAAAATTTTGAGAAAATCAACTACCATGGTTGCTAGAGGATGATCAGTTCTTAATCTACGATGATATGGACATGACTGAGAACCACCTATAACAGGTCTTATATACTCCAGGCCTTTGTCAGGATTGCCAATGTCATTGCAGTAGCCATAGTTGTAGATTTGGTCCCATTCTTTTCTTCCCCCCTTTCCATCTCTTCTCAATCTAACTAGTTTTTCTATCCTAAGTTCAACCAAACCACCTGGCCTCTGGTTTGGTAGATAACACTATACATGAAAAAATGCTAAGCTCTGTGATTCCATTCAAGGAATAGAATGAACTCAAGCCACTTTTCCACATTGGCCTTTGACCAAGTAATACAATTAAAAAAAAAGATTTGGAAACAAAATGTACTAATGTCCCGTCCATTATAAAACTGTGTTGATAACATTTAGTTAATCTTCATTAATGCAGTATTAATGCAGCAAGACATATGGAATTTCCATGGTTGCTAAATTTTTGAAATATTAGCCAAAAGTTTTCAGATTAGAAGTCTTCAATATCTACAACATACAAAGTTGGTAAAATTCAGCTTGCTTAATTGAACTTTCTTCTTTTTTCTTTTTTTAGCCTTTGCTGTTTGAAACATTGTAATACTCAGAATTTCAATAGACAAAGAATTCGGTGAACGATGGAAGAGACGTCGTTAGAACAAAAATATACAGACATAGTAATATATGAAGAGAAATTTGAAAAAGTAAGGATTACCTTTTTATCGTATTTTGTTATTTGATTTTTTTTCCCTAACGCATTAAAACATTAATGAGTTTTAATTTTATTTTTTTTTTCATCTTGGTTTTAGGAACCCTAGCAAATATTCAGCATGTCTTAAGAACGTGACTATTTCATGTGGGTTAGGACCATATTTGAAACTTGAAAGGCCTTTACTAATCAATTATGCCCTCAAAATGGATGTTTTGGTAAAATATTTTTAAATCTTGAATGATGGTCTTCTATTGTAGTGGGTTTGTTTGACAAGTATTTAAAAAAGCTCCAATTCGTCTGCCATTTCGCATACTTACTCGATGTTTTGATTGTTATCTTATTTATTATTAAATTTATTTCAATGACATTATTTGAAACTATACTTTTAATGTAAGATATATCAACCCATAACTATGATTTCCAGAATGAGTTATTTGTTGATTATACAGATATGTTCACGACAAACATGGTACATAATGATTTTATTTTTTTAATATGATCATATATTTATATATGAATATTTGATGATTAACAGATGTTTACAATTAAAGAGACCTTGATTGACTATGTTAAAACTACTAGTAAGAGACTAACATGCATTGATTTTGCATGTGAAAGATATGGTTCGTATAGGTGTAGGAATACTAACAAAGAAAATGAACAAGGAAAGAGACGTAGAACTACTGGAACAAAAAAGTGCGGATCCCATCCGCTT